AAAATTGGAATGCTCCAAAAGAGAACCTGTAAAATATATTACAATATTCGAAGAGCATCTGCAACTACGAGTTATAGCTCAACGAGAACTTGTGAGAGCTCCGAAAAGTGTATGTGTGCTGTAAGAACTCCGAAAATTCACAGGTAAAAAAAAATGAGTCACCAGAGCTCCAAAAAAAAAGTAACGACTGATGCGAGCAACAAGCTAAAAATCAGGTACTAGCAAAATAACAGAGTCGGGGGGCATACAGTGCAAGCTACAATGTTCCACAAGAAAACTCCTATAAGAGAATTCCAAAAGGCTAACATATGCAGCCAAGATATATATAAAAACCATACTCCAAAGAAACAACGCTCCCAAATGTGAACGGATCGTGCTTGGAAAGGTGCAAAGCGACCTTACTTCGTACCTAAGACAAGTGCAGTGTGGTCAATATCGGAAAAAGCTGAAGGAGTCCTACCTTATATGGTTGCCTGCGCAGTTAATACCTCTCTATAAGCTGTTTCGGCCTCCTCAGCTTTCCAATTTGGTGCTTTACCATCTTGAAACTCTTGAGTCATCTTCCAAGTGTTGATAATAGTTGCACCAGACGTTGCCAACTCCGGTTGTTGCTCCAAACAAGTGACTATGCGCTTGCTCTCCTCATTGTTCGCTTCCAACGAAGCTACCTCACCTTTAAGAACATCAACCTTACCCATCCAAGAACTCACCTCCTGATTCTTCGCGGCGATGGTGGAATTCAACAGTGTATTTTGTGATTCAAACTCCTTCTTTATCTTAATATTGTCTTCACAAAGGCGCTTCATTTCCGTTTCAGCCTCTCGAAAGCGAATCTTCTCATAGTAGCAAGCGGACATCGCCTACAAAGATAAAAAAAATCAATGTCAATTGATGTGCGGCTAACTGTTCAAAAGTACCTACAAAATGAAACAAAGTCAGAAGAGTTCTCACTTTAAAAGACAAAGATTGGACATCATCCAAAACAGCGGTAAAGCCTAACTCTCTAAAGCTCTCATGATCACGAGAAAAATGACTTTCATTGAGATCATCAATCACAAAGGAGAGATCGGAAGTAGTCGACACACCACCTGAGCATTGTTTCTTTAAAATCCTGGAAACTCGCGGGGCACCATCACAATGTTTGCACGCTTCATAGAGGAGTTTGGGATAGTTTGCTTGTCTTTGGAAGCAGGCTTCAAGGGAGAGGGTATAGACGTCTCTCTAGCACGCCTGAATTTTTCGAGAGTATTACTGATCGTTGCACCCGACACAGCCATCGTACCACCTGTGAAGGAGCACGAAACGTCACACAAACTGATCGTTATTGAAAGATGGTACATAAACCAGTATAAAAGTTAGCTATCTTCAAAATAAATGGGCTGAGTAACCAAGAGATAGAGCAATCCTTTTCTGGTATGCTAATCACTTTCCACGCTCCAATCAAGCCTTCTTTGAATCACTGGCGCTTGAAACCTGTGTCAGAAACTGTACAAGGTTAGTTTCAGCAAAATCACTATAATATGTCTGGGAAAACCAGTGAGTCTACCTCCATAAAACCACGCAGCGGGTTAACCCGGATCGTGACCCACTTTCATGAAAAGAAAGCTTTTTGTCCATTCTATCTCATAAGGAAGTCTAGACCTACGTCGCTTCGGTACATCAAGCAACAAATGAGGGAACGGGCCATTGCGCTTATGAATCACGCACCTAGTCCTATCTATATCATGAGTTTTGAAGTAGTAAGCGAACAGAACTTCATTAACTCGAATATCGACCTCGGATAGCTCTCCAAAAGCTTATCTGATCGTTAAAAGACCTTAATTGCATGAGTCCAACGGGTACACATCCTTTACTTTTCTTTCTAAGTCAAACTATATATGTGCTTTGGAATTTCCAGTGAAACAACACGACAAGGAGTCCAATGGCCTAAAGCAAAACGACACTCACGACGTCGGTTACTGCTATTAACATTAGCGTCTTACTACTCTCGAAATTCTAAAAAGAAATTAGAGAGTGGGGGGCAAGTTGTTGGGAAAAAATAATTCCTAAGTTGGACCTATTGAGAAAGTCACCTGCGGGCCAGGTCCAAATGACATAGGTCTAAATATTGCTGCTTCAAATCCTATGATATATACGACGTCCGAATCCCATGGGATTGAGGAGTTACGAATCCTACGGGATACATACAAATTTTCATATAACGATAGATACGAATCTTTGAAGAAGAGGGTAGTTAAGAACCGACCTAAGGGCCAAATCCTCACCGACCTATGAACATATATAAAGTAGGGACCTCCGAAGGTAACATGACAGGGAAAAAAGGGCAACACAGGTAAAAACCCTAGAGAACATATTCTCGCCGCTTCCACGAACAACCAACGAGACTACAGCAAAGCTCCGATTCCAGCAAATCGGACCTTTTTAACTCCGAAGATCTTCCTTGAACAACTGTCTTACGCTTTCAATTTATTGTAGTTTCGAGTTTGTTGTCCTAAGATCACTCATCAATAAAGAAAGATTATCATCTATCGTTCCGTAGCTCTGTTTATTCGAACGTGTTAAATTTACCCGAAACAGTTTGCGAAATGGAGAGTTCCTTTTGATTCCTCAATATGATGCCAGTATTATAACCTGAGCATACCGAGAATATGATATATGTGAAAACAATACGTGTACAGAGTATAGATGCATTTATATCACTTACCCTGTTAGACCAAAAAAGTCCACAGGCATTGTCGAGAGACCTGGGTCCCGAAGGGCCACGATGCAGCATTCGTGTACATTTGGAACTAATGCCACAATGGGTACACCTACATAAGCCACTCACGTATAAAATAAAAAGCAAGAAAAAATAGATGACTCATGGAAAACACGAATTGTAGAGTCTAACGCACGATATTTCTGGATGACCATCATCTTGTGCAGAATCTTGATCAGTGCCCGAGTTATAAGCCCCATCTGTCATCTCTGAAGAGGTGAATTGACCTTTGTTACGTGACATTCTGGTAAATACTAAATAAGGTCAGACTTGTAGAGAAGGTGAAAAATACTCTCTTGTGGAAGACATAGACATGTCGATTATTCCCAGTGAAAGCCAATTTCCGAATAAGAAAATTAACAAGATAGTAATGAGAAAGAAATATGTCCAGCTTCTTCAAAGGAGTAGCCATAAAATAATCCATTTTCCTGACAGGTGTGAGATTTATACATATTACTCAAGCTTTCAAAGACTGAATCACATCACATGTGTAGCATTTTAATCTAGCATGATAACAACTAAGTAAGCGAATAAATCCCCTGACCTTAACGCCACATCCTGGCGAACACGGTATCTTACTTTCTTCTCGAAACATCCAGCATTCCTCTTCTTCCGAAATCGATCAACGGATTGTGAAACAACCCGACCCGTTTTTTTTTTATATATAAATTAGCACCGAATTAGCATCCCCATAAATGCTAACCCTCAANATGCTAAAATTCTCAATATAGCAACATTCAGCGGAAATCAATTATGCAAATAAACCATTAAATAATACTTCATAAACCAATAACCAATCATTCAACATCCTAGACCGTTCTATATCGAATCACTAACAACCTAGCAATCCAATAATCCACG